CCCCAAAACCCCAAAACCCCAAAACCCCAAAACCCCATATCAGTAATGTTGAGTTGAAATTAATTGTAAAATATTAAATATGATTATAGATATGCTCACCAATATTATTTGGAGCTTTGCTAGATATTTCTTGCTGTTTCTGTTTGCAACGATTATCTACTTTGCTTACAAGCTATTTTATGTTCCTTTGGCATTCAGAAAGAAATTTTCAAAGTATAAGAACGTGTATATAACAGAGAAGTTCAATCCTATCTTGGGAGAACTTAAGCCTTCCTTGGATGATATTAACAACGGAAGAGCCTTCTACGACAACTTGAAAAAGTTGCAACCAAAAATGAAAGGAACTGACATGAAAGTTTTTGTACAAGGGTTTGAGCCAATGATTACCTTGGTTTCGAACAAAGCCGTCAAGGAAGCTGCTGCCTTGATTCCATCCAAGATTGATAGGGCTGAAGTTCAGAGTAATTACAGATTGAAAATTGGAGGATTGAAGTTTGTTGATGGATCTTTTATCAATTCCCCATCCTCTAAAGATATTGTTGAAAGAAGGAAGAGCTACTTTAAACTGCTTGGAGTTAGTAGCTCTTCCCAGCACATCCCTACCATTGTGAAGATTGCTGTTGAAACTCTATCAAAGATACAGGGAAAGAAGGAGGTTAAGATCTTAGAAGAGATAAACTACATGACCACCAAAGTATTCATGACGATTCTTTTTGGTAATGACTTGGACGACTTCCTATCCGAAAAACACGACTACGAAGCTACAGATGGATCTATTGCTAAGTACAACCTGATCGAATTCTTCGGTCACTTGTTAAATTCTTCTCACGTTGAAGCTTCGAATCCAATGACAATGTTCTTCCCTATTTTGAACAGGCTGAATATTATTAACCCTTGGAAGAGAAACTATAGCAACATGATGAGGCTTAAGAGTATAATGAAGAAGGTTCTTAATAATTCCCAGGACAAGAACTCAGTTTGGCACCAGATATCCCAACTGGAGAAGTTTAATAAAGAAGACATTTTTAGTGATTTGCTGCTGATTATTATGGGAGGCGGAGACACAATCTCTCATGGATTTGTATCAATGCTGTACTTCCTGAAGAAATATCCTTCCACCCTCTCTAAGCTGAAACAGGAGCTTGCCCAGCACGGGTTCACTAAGGGCTGCGATCTTGGCCAGATGTTCACTATGGAAAATATCCAGAAGTTGGAATATCTTTCATATGTGATCAAAGAGGTTTTAAGAATTGATGCTCCAATACCTACTACCATGAATTACTATGCTTTTAAAGATGTTGAGATATGTGATGTTCCTATCCCTAAAGGCACTTTAATTTATTTGGATGTTGTTGGAACACACTATGATGAGACCCAATGGCTTGATCCTTATGTGTTCGAGCCTGATAGACACGACCCTAGTTCTGATTTTGCAAAGAAGTCTAAAGATTTAGGTATTGTTCCCAATGTTTATTCTAAGAGAGCTTTCGGCCATGGATCAAGAGGATGTCCAGGCCAAGCCTTTGCAAATCTAGAGCTTAAAGTTCTAGCAGCATTCTTCATCCCTCACTTTGATTATTCAGTACCAGAAGAATGGTTGAACAAAGAAGGAATAGGGTTCTCTTTAGGAACAGAGTTTCCTTTGAATCTAAAAGTTCTCTAAGGTGTATTGATTTTACCAATTTAGTACCTCAATCTTCAATCATGCACGATAACTTAGGGGTTTTGGGGTTTTGGGGTTTTGGGG